TACAGTGTGAATGAGTCACTGCGAGGCCCTATTTTCTTTTTTTTTTTTTTTTAAAGATTTTATTTATTCATTTGACAGAGAGAGACACAGCAAGAGAGGGAACACAAGCAGGGGGAGTAGGAGAGGGAGAAGCAGGCTTCCCGCCGAGCAGAGAGCCCGATGCGGGGCTCGATCCCAGGACCCTGGGATCATGACCTGAGCCGAAGGCAGACGCTTAATGACTGAGCCACCAAGGCGCCCCAGACAGGCCCTATTCTTATCTGAGAAATCTCTGGATATCAGAGGTTCATAAGGGAGGGAGGGTCAGAAGAGACTGTTTGACTCAAGAAAAGATCCCACATGCAACACTCCAGGCAGATGGGCACCAGTCTCTAAAACCCCTGAGGAAGGGTCCATGTCTCATTGTTAAACCTGTATGTATACACATTTACAGGAGTATTTACTCATGTATTAATACATAAAATTGAGATTACCTACGGGTGAGACTATCTGTATGTTTTCCAGTTATGAACATTTAAATTAAAAAAACAAACAAGTGTCACTTTTATACCAGAAAACAAATGTGTTTTTTCAGTTTATCTAAGGCAAAGAATATCATGTTAAACCACACAACATCAACAACAATATTAATCATTGTGATAAAGACAACAGCAGTGATGCCCTGATGGTATATTTGTGCATGGCTTTATACTCTAAAACTACTTTCCCGTATTTGATTAAATATCTGTCCACCTTACTTGCTGTGAATTTACTGAGCATATGTCTGACAGTCTTGGGTATGAATTCCAGCCATGTCGGAGCAAACCCCAGCCTCAGTTTTCTTAGCTGCGGGTAAAATGGGATAGTAAGAAAGCCCACCCTACAGTTTTTCAGGAAGGCCTGAAAGCTAAAAGGATTTAAAAAGCTAACATCAAAAATGTTTGAAAATGAATGACTAGGAAGGCAAACATGACTCATTTGGTCCTCAAAAGTGGCCCAAGGAGGTAAGCAGGGAACTTAACTATTTCCACCATTTAACTGATAAGGAAAACTAATCATTAAAACTAGTGTACATATCCCCCCAACCCCCACTCCAACCCCTTCAAACAGTTTTTTTCATGATGTTTCACCAAGGTCCAGAAAGAGCTTCCAGCCACTCTTATTTAAATTTTATCTACTGAAAAAAACAAACTAACCAAAACTCAGGCATTAACTCAAACACTGATGAAGGCCAACTATGGGCCTCGGCTGTGTGTGCGACACCCAATCTCTGCCCTCCGAGGCCACCCCAGCTCTGGTGTTGACTGTGTACTTTCTGGGAAATTCTGAACAAATGCATTGCCTGTTTCCTTCTCTTGACCACAGCAAGGAAAAGTATGAACTCTTCCTGAGAAACTGGATGCAGTAAATCCATTATTTGCTTGGGATAAAAAGTGAATAAAGTTAAATTAACCAGTCTCAGTATATACACACAAGGCATGTTGTTTTCTACATACGGCAAAATAAAATTTAGAAATTCACAAACTCTAAGACCTCTCCAAGAAGCACTTCACAGTTATTACCTCAGAAAACTTGTTTGCAATCTCGTTCCAAACAGCTTTACTATTAACCGTTTCAGAGAATTTCGTGGCTTTTAACTTATGTCTATCGCAACAACTATTCCATCAGACTTTTATCAAACCAACAGCATTTTTTCTGCTTCAGAATCTTCTCTGATAATCCTGTATGTCAAGCCCCTCCCATCAAAGAAATTTTATACAACAGGCCTGTCACTATCAAGCAACTGTCAGTATCTTCAAATATGTTTTTACATTTGAATGAAACAGTGTAAGTCAGAATCATAAGGTCACCATTCCCTTATGTCATTTGCCAGAATTATAAGATCATGATGTAAAAGACCTTACATTAAATATGTGCAAGAGTACCACAGGCTGGAAGAAATGTCACACCAACGCTAGTAATTCAGATAACTGTTATGACAGAAGTCAATGAACTTGGGATTATTTTTGCTAATTATTATTATTGATAAATTCCATATGGCAGTCAGATTTGGTGAAATAACACAGCATGTGTTTTTTATCACACACAACTGTATCCTATACTGCCTAACGAATGTAAGTTTTTGCCTAGAATTATAGGTATGATCAGCTCAACATAAAACAAATATATTCCTTTGAAAGACTTAGGTATAAACACGTGTTTATGGCGTATACTACCCTGTAACGCACAATAGGAACTAGATACTAAAAATAATCCTCAGAAAATGAAATGGAGGTGGTTGATAAATGTTTTAAAAAAATAGTGTATGGTCAAGTAATTTTGACAAAAGAGCCAATACTCAATGGAGAAAAAAGATAGTCTCTTCAATAAATGGTGCCGGAGAGGGGGCGCCTGGGTGGCTCAGTTGGTTAAGCGACTGCCTTCGGCTCAGATCATGATCCTGGAGTCCCGGGATCGAGTCCCGCATCGGACTCCCTGCTTGGCGGGGAGTCTGCTTCTCCCTCTGACTCTCCCCCCTCTCATGTGCTCTCTCTCTCTCTCTCATTCTCTCTCTCAAATAAATAAATAAATAAATAAATAAATAAATAAATAAAATCTTTAAAAATAAATAAATAAATGGTGCTGGAGAAATTGGATAGTCACATGGAAAAGAATGAAAATGGACCCGTATCTTGTACTATTCACGAAAATTAACCCTAATGGATTAAAGACTTAAATAGAAGACCGAAAACCATACAACTCTAGAAGAAAACACAGGGGGAAAAGCTCCTTGACGTGGGTCCTGGCAATGATTTTTTGGATATGACACTTAAAGCACAAGCAACAAAATCAAAAATAAGCAAGTGGGACCACATCAAACTACAGTTTCTGCACAGCAAAAGAAACCATCAACAAAATGAAAAGCCAACCCATGGAATGGGAAAAAATATTTGCAAACCACAAATCTGATAAGGGGTTAATATCCAAAATACATAAAGAATTCCTACAACTCAACAGCAATATATATGTGTGTGTGTGTGTGTATATATATATACACACACATATATTTATATTTATACACACACACACACACACACGATTAAAAAATGGGAAGAGGAAACGAATAGACACTTCTCTGAAGAAAACATACAGATGGCCAACAGGTACATGTGAAGGGGCTCAGCACTGCTAATCACCAGAGATATGCAAATCAAGCACAACCAGGTATCACCTCAGGCCTGTTAGAATGGCTATCATCAAAAAGACATACCAAGTATGAAATAACTTAACTCTCAAGTAGATCCAAAGTTTGATTTATCACAGATTTTGGGTCAACACATTGTTGGCAATAAACAAGTACTCATGTAAATGAGTAAATGACTTTTAGCTTGGTTCTTATCATCCTAAACCAGCTACTACAAATTTCCCCCATTTGAGAATAACTCATTTAAATTCTTTCTAAAAATAATCCTAATTTTAAAAGTGGGACTGCAATTAAACCTGATGACATAGAGATGTACATATATCAAATGTGTGTGGGTGTATGTTCACAAAACATTAAGTATAAAATATAAGGTGTATAATACCATGTACCACCTGCTCCTATATCTGTAAATAAACAGATACATGTACATATATATGGCTGGGGCATATGGTTGCTTACATTTTCTTCCCAATACTTTTCTCGATTCCCCTGTGCCCCATAATGAGCACATGTTACTTTTACAATCAGAGCTTTAGAAAGAAATAGTTGGAACTCTGCTCAGACAGATTAACTGGCTGATACAGTTCTACCAGGCATTCAGACAGCCTGAATGCCTGGTACACATCTTGCCTCAACACATCTTGAGTTGGGAATTCTACTGAATATAGTTAATTCTGGCAGAAACAATACCGTGTTGTGTTTCTATAGTACTCCACAAAGTGCTTTCACAATCCCAGGAGGTGGGACTTATTTATTCCACTTTGCAGTGGGGAATGTGAAGCTGGAGGAGACCGAGACTCACCTGCCATGACCCCCAGCCCGGCACCAGAAGAGCACAGATCTGCACCAGACCCTCAGGACCACAGCCTCTACCCCGGCCTCTACATGGACCCTCCTTTCCAAAGGGCTCCCCCAGCCAGGTTCAGGTTGCTCCCCTAGTCACACGAGATCAGTACTAGCTGTTAAAAATTAGAATATTTCACCTTCAAATAGACACAGGCTGGATTTTGTAAAGCAGTCGTCTGAACATTTTAAAGAAATAGCAGGCGTTTCCCCCCCCCAAATTTAATATTTTGCTCTCTTAGACACTCAGCTAAACAATATAAAAGCTGACCATACACTGCATAAATATGTTTCATAAATCTCCTTCAACAGGTGTAAATCTTTTGCAGAGTACATTTCAAAAACCTCTTTTCACAAAATTTCCTTTAGCTTTGGGACTTTGTAAACAATAAAAACCAGAAGAAACAAAAATAGCTCTTAAAGAGCAAGAGACTCATGAAAACTTTCCTTTGTATCTAACTAGTATTTTTGTCTATCTGCCTTCGTCACTAAAAAAACCCCACACAAACCAGCAGTCCCACCTGGAAAAGCTACGGGAAGGCACCATTTTTACAAAACGTTACACTGCCCTACTTTTGAACATGACCTGACCTTTGGGTTAACAAAACTTCCATTTGCTTAAGAAAAGCAGCTTCGTTTTGCAGCAACCTGCTCAAAATATTTCTTTAGTCGAAATGTGGACATTAACAAAATAAGGTACACATTTAAAAAAAAAATAAGAAGAGGGGAAAATCCATTTTCGTCTGAGTTGCCTTTTGGAAAACTTTTGCTCCACGGGGGCTTACAAAATATCCTAATTAAAATAAGCAACCAAAGCCGGGAGTTACCATGATGGACTTTTGTCTCTGGAGATCCACCTTGCCTCCAGCTCCCTCCCTGAGACCGGCTTCCCTGATCCCTCACTGCTCTGCTCACTGGACCTGGGAGAAGCCTCCATCTGTAAGCCCGGTCCAAGTCCCCCTCCGCTTTTTAGCCCTTCTGCAACTGCACTGACCTGATTGGAACGGATTCCCCGTGTTCCATTCAAAACCTTCTGGGAAAACTCTCCTTCCTCCTCCGAAGTCACTGGCCTGGTGGAGCCCCTGGCCCCAGCGTTCCTCCTGAAGGACCACCGCTTGTGGACGGACACCAGGGTGACCTGTGGGTCACCCAGGGTCGCCAGGAAGGACGGCTCAGGGCTCCTGGGCATCTCACCCCCAGCTTCCTCCATCGCTGTGTCCACGGTCACACCTTTACCCACCATTCGAGCAAGCAGTTCACCCTCACCACGCCACCTGGTCATGTGAGAAGGAAATGCTTTAAAAGTGTCCTCCTAACTAGCAGGGGGAGGCACCTTCTGTGATCCGTCCTGCGGATTCCCCTCTGCTCCGGAGCCAGTCCGCTGAGAGGCTGCCAGCCAAGTCCAGCAGCCAGCTTCGGAGCTCGGGCAGGCTGCGCACCGCTGTAGATATTTGCTCTTGTTTACCTACATCCTTCCAGCCAACTGGCACCCTCTCACTCATCACACCGCATCAGGCACTGGGAGTCTCTGCACACGGCCCCATGCGTGCCCTCACCCAGCCCGGCCAGGACACCAGCCAGCGTGTGCAGGAGCCCGGCACGGAATCACCTCCCAAAGCTGAGCACGGTTTCCTCTCGGCCATGTGCACTCCCAGAACCCCAGCCTTGACGGAGGGCAGAAATGACACTTCCGCTTATTGTCAAACTTCCAGAGCTTTCTTGGAATAACTCCGGCTGTCTCTTCCGTGGCTGCAGTGCTGGCGTGTGCAGCACACTAGGGGACAGAAGTATTTCCTAGGCAACATGACTTGCATTTTCAAGAAGGTGTAAGAGAGTTCCATGTTTCCTGCAGCTTTGTTTCCCCTCGGGCCAACTTGGCTTGACTTCAGTAAGGACTGACTGCAAAACCTCACTGGATACCAAGGCTCATCCACTTTTTATACGGAGCAGGACAGCCACGAGCTAACCCACAATTCAGGCTTCTCAGGCCACCGGCAGTTCCATGGGAGGATTCGGAGAATCCAGGCGGCCTCCCGCTCTGTTGGGCAGCACTATCTCCCTTCCCACCCCCACCGGCTCGCTGCCGGGAAAGAGGCAACCTCATCCTCCATGGGAAGGAACAGCTCCACCACCACTAATCCTGGCACCGCTGCCCTCTCAAGTGTGTCGGTATGGAATGTCCACACTGCCGACTGAATCGGGTGGGTAAAACAGACACCATATCCTTTTGCATTCCTCTCCGGGGTGAATGTGCCCCTGGCAGGGGAGGGTGGGGTCACAGGGGCCTGTACCTGAGGGCATCTAGAACATACCGCCTGCGGCTCGAGGGCACTGAGGATTCTGCCTCCTTAGGAATGACCCTTACTCCCCAATCAAAACTGCCACGGCTGCCCCAAGAACTGCTGACCAAGAGATCTGCTCTCTTTGAGGGAAGGCGGCCTCACCACAGGCCCCCCCAAGACTCTCACTCTTCTACTTCTCATTCGCTCTGTGGGGATCTGACCACTTCTGAAACATGCTCAGGGCAGCCAACTCCCATGCGTCTCGCTTGGCTTCTTATCTGCCCTGCGCGCAGTCAAAAAAGAACCTGCCTCCATTTCCAAGAAGTGCCATTCAAATGAGTGACCAAAAAGGAATGGCACGTTGGATGCTAAGGGCCTCAGGCCCCAGCTCCATGTACACCGAGTAGGAGCCAGCTTAGAGGAGTCTGGGATATCTGTGATTGCTTTCTTGCCATCACTCAAATCTTGCTTATCTAGGGTCTCCCTGTTTCCTGATAGGATCCATCAGGATCTATGTGTGCCTGCGACCACCTCAGAGTTCCTTTGTGTGCATCGTATGTTCTCCGAATATCTGAAGCTTATCTTTTTTTTTTTTAAGATTTTATTTATTTATTTGACACAGAGAGAGAGAGAGAGAGCACAAGCAGGGGGACCAGCAGAGGGAGAGGGAGAAGCAGGCAACCCGAGGAGCAGGGAGCCCGATGTGGGACTCGATCCCAGGACCCTGGGATCATGACCTGAGCCAAAGGCAGTTGCTTAAACCAACTGAACCACCCAGGCGCCCCTGAGGCTTAGCTTTTAAGCATAGATTTTAAAAAAATTTTTGTCATTTTGGGTAGAAATCCTTCCCCAAAGGTGCCATTTATCTTTCTTCTTTTTTTTTTTTTTTTAAGATTTTATTTATTTGAGAGAAAGAGCACAAGCAGAGGGAGCAGCACACAGAGGCAGAGGGAGAAGCAGGCTTCCCACTGAGCAGGGAGCCCAATGCGGGACTCGATCCCAGGACCCCGGGATCATGACCTGAGCCGAAGGCAGACGCTTAACTGACTGAGCCACCCAGGCATCCCTTCTTCTGTCTTTTAAAATATGAGTTACTAACCAGATTTCAATTTTTCCTTGGTGATAGGGGATCATTATAGATACAAACGTTTCTGTGTTGCAGCTTTGAATGGTTAATAAGGAAAATATGTTGGCATCATACATCCCAAGTGCTTTTAGCACCATGAACTATAGAAAATTTGAATACTTTACTGTAAAATATTTTTACTTCTCCTAAATGGCCACTCAGACCCAGAACACAGCCAGAAAAAGGAGGCTGGGGCCAGGTTATAACAGGCCTGAAGTTTAGACTTTGTCCTGTGGGCAGTGGAGAATCACCAGTTTTTAACGCAAAGGACTTACATGATTCATATTTGTGATTTAGAAATATGGTTTGGGCAGGCATGAGAATGAAGATTCCGGGGCGGTGGGGGGGGAACCTATAGGGTTACAAGGAGCAGAGAAAATGAATGCAGGGTAGGATTAAACAAATGAGGGGGCCCTCCAGGCTCAGCCATCCAGCGGCCTTGAGAGGACCTGCGGGGGACACTGCCCTTTCCAGTTTGGCAGAGATGAGGAGGAATAGGGAGAAGCATGTCTGGGGTGGAAATTTGTTCCCACAGAGTCTAAGGGACCTGCAAAACAGCCAAAGCATGAACCGCTTTCCCAGACTGAGAACTGGTTCAAACTCTTCTTTCCGGCACCTCCCCCTTTCCTCACACCTGACCCCTGGGCTCCCCTCCTTTGCCCAGCTAATCCTCCTTATCCTTTAAGTCCTGCTCTCAGTGTGGCCTCCATTCATACTAGTGGGGCTCTGTCCCTTATCTGAATTCCAGTGCCACCAACGTCAACACCACAGGCCTGGCACGTACTGAGCCTCCACTGTGACTGGGGACCAAGTCTTCTCCCTCCACAGAGGCTGCCTCCAGATCAGCCAACACTGGTTCCTGATGCCTAGCACGCTCCCAGCACCCTGAGACACTGTAAGCCTCTGGCAGACAAGGTTCTTACGTGTTCCCTGACTCAGCGATGAACAAACATCATTCCCCGGATGTTATATATACGCTCACTGAGATGAAGTACAGACAGATCCCAATGTGCTTTCTACCTAGGACTTCATGGTGGGTTTTGTCCTCCTCGCCCCAGTGCAAGGGCAAATTTGGCTCTCACATATTCCTTCTAGAACTACAGGTCTTCAAAGGTCTCATCACACTAAATTATCTTTGCCTCCCACAGGTGCAAATTATATCAGCTATTCTCCAAAATAAATTCATCTTACCCACCTTCCCAGTCTCTGGGGATCTTTTTTGTATAAAAATAAAAATCCCTTTGGTATCCTAACCAATCCTGTTGCAACCTGAGGGGCCCAGGCCCAAAGGCAGATGGGCAGCTCAGTTTCCACAAGCCCCCGAGACCGACGACCTTATGTGGAAGGGAGACATCTGTTTCCAATATTTCAGCACTTGACAAAGATGACCAGCTCACCCTGGGTGGGGCTTCTCAGAAAGAACACTGGGCCAGTCCTCCCGAGACAGGCAGAGGAGCCGCGGATCCTGTGACAGGACAGGACGACAGAACCTGACACTAAGCCGCAGGCTGGGAAGCAGTGGCCCAGAAGGTTCCCAGACAGAGAACGTGAGCAGCACAAACAGCCCATCCCTCACAACGGAGGTGGAACATTAATGAGTATAATTTAGAGCCTGAAAGCCAACCATTTAAGCGCTATGCACATCAGAAGACATGAGACACTTTTTGCCCTCAGGAGTTCATTAGCAGGTTAAGAGAGAACAGTAGAGGACAGTATTAAAGTATAAAAGAAATCCTTCAAACATTAGGTGCCTGGTGTGGGAGGGGTTGCCACAGGCCAGTTACCCTGGAAGACCTGCTGGGGGAAGGCCTGGAGGGCTGCTCCTCACATCCCCAGGAACTGGGGGTTTCTGAGACTGAAATGGCTTGGCACAACTTTTATTTTATTTTATTTTAATATTTTATTTATTTGACAGAGAGAGAGACACAGCGAGAGAGGGAATACAAGCAGGGGGAGTGGGAGAGGGAGAAGCAGACTCCCCGTGGAGCAGGGGGCCCGATGCGGGGCTCGATCCCAGGACTCCAGGATCATGACCTGAGCCGAAGGCAGACGCTTAACGACTGAGCCACTCCGGCGCCCCGTGGCACAACTTTTAGATTAGCTTACTAACAGGAGACAAAAAAAAAGGAAAAACCTGGCTGGACTGCCTACAGTGAAAAAAATTACAATGGTTCTAAATCATAAAGAGACTGGACAAGGCCAAAAAGAGAAGTGCTTGAGACTGTCAGAATAAAAGGAAATGTTTCCATTCCATGGTTAATCATATGCACCTCAACTTCCTTGGCTGCCCTTGTCATCGGACGCCCACCTGGCCCAACTCCAGCTCTGGTTCCGTCTGCATCTCCACAGACTCCATGTCTGTCTGCTCCCAGCTACATGCGGATGAGACCCAACACAGCCAGGCTGCCTCAAGATCAGGAACCTGGAAAGAGCCCTTGGTGCTGCCGGCAGTCCAGCTGTGCGTCTCCCTCGTCCCCTCCCTCTCTGCTCTCCTGGAGGACGTGCCACACGTCCACCTCTCCCCGCTGCTCCTCTGACCTCCACTCCCTACTCCCATCCCCAGTCTCCACAGATGAGCCTGCTAACATCTCAACCAGCAGCCCACCTGCATCAGTCCTTCCCTCGGCAGGGAGAACTGTCCAAGGTTGGGCCCCAAGCGCCCACCCCCTCCTGGTTTTCCTCCAACCCCCCCCACACACACACACAGCTCCTTCTCAGAGGCCTTCACAGGAGCCTACTAGTCCCCAAAGTCCTCAGTGCTGGAGTGGCTCGCCGCTCAGCCCTTGCTTGGATCCCATCCCTGTCTGTACTCATTCCTTGGTGAGCTCATTCAGTCTAGCAGCAATACCCCTTATACGCAGTAACTCCCAATTCCACACTGAAGGATCCAAGGGCCTCACCATCTCCTGCTGGATAGTTAACACGCATCGTGAACGTTAACTTGTCTAAAACTGAGCTCCCAATATCCTGCCCCTTCCCTGCTTCTGCCAGTCTCTCCCATCTCCGTCCTTCCGCTTGCCCAGGGAAAACTTGCATTAACCCTTGACAAGAACAGCCTCCTCCTTTCAAACCTGCAGGTAGATGGTCAGCAAATCCTGTCAGTTCCATCTTTAAATACATCCAGCATCCAGTCACTTCTCAGTACCCCCCACTATAGCCCTGGTTCCAACCACCAGCACCTCTCACCTGCACTATTCAAACAACCCCCCTAAGTAACCTCTGGCCTCCCTTCTTGGTCCCTAAAGTCTCTTCTAAACACAAAAACCAGAGAACTCCCTTAAGGGGAAGTCAGATGACTGCAGTAAGCTTTTCAGCCAATCCTCACATTGTTCACCCCTCACTCACTCAGCTAAAACCATTCCAATCCTGCTGTTTCTGCAACAAAGCAAGGCTTGCCCCCGCCTCAGGGACTCCCCCCACCCCACACTCTCTGGGGCTTAAAAACAACCC